GTGTGCAACCTTTCCATACGCAGTAAATTATGTTAGAACTCGAGCCGGCAGAAAAATCCGTTCGTTGGAACTTAAAACGCGTAGTCAGCCTCATGTGAAGTACAATTCACCTATATTAGATTCCATATGTCTGCTCCTCGAGAAAGACAAATACTAGTTGGAGCTAATCTACAGCTATTCTATAAAGAACTTTTGCTTTCAACATTTTACCAGTTAAAGCTGTTTGTGCTAACTATTTTAATTAATTTATGTTTTGTAGAACAAAAATAGAGAAAGTGGAAAGGTCATCAGTACTTTGTTAAAAAAGAAAGAACAAAAATAGCTTTAAACAAAGTAGATATATTCGCCACTGATCAGCTAGTTAAAATTCTGTCCGCGGGCCGTATAAAATCTTCCGGGGGGCCACAGTTGGCCCGCGGGCCGTAGTTTCCCCATCCCTGGTTTAGATTATAATATGTTAAATAATTTAAATCTTCAGAGGAAGGCATTGGCTCACATTGGGCTGTCTAGCCAACTATGATGATGAAATAATTTAAAACACGATTTACTAAACACATAAAAAAAATTCTCAAAACTTGTTTGATGCTATTTTTCACTAAATTCAATTTATTATGTTTAAAACTTAGCAAACATGCTGAGTTCAAATGTCAATACTTTTGAGAGTTTCCAGAAAACACACACAAAGATATACTTTTAAAAATGTTCAACTAAATGAAACAAATAATTTTACTTACTTTTATTGCTTTAAGCCTTTCTTTATAATCTGTAGATAAAATAGTGTTCGATGAAGAATTTTTCTTTTCATTGGATTTACCATCAACAAATTGTGTTAAGTTCAACCATGAATTCTAAAAAAATATACATACACTTTTTGTACTAAAAATAACTTCTATTAATTTTTACCTTAGCACAATCATAAATTATGCTACTAATTTAAAGTATAAGGGAAATTTCAAAAAACAGTTTGTTAATTATATATCAATATATAATTTCTAAGCATCCAATTTGAATTCTTCATTATTTAATATTTTAAACAGACATTACCTATTTTAAGTAGCAAAATTATAATCATAAATTTTTCACTTTATTTAGAATTTTTATACTTAAGAATTTAAAAAGATGTTGATAACAAAGAGAAACAAAATTCATTACTGAAAGTTATTATCTGCTTGTAACTGTGTTTAGGAAAAACAACACTAAAAGACCCAAACTTTAAACTGATTTTTTCGATTAAACTAATGAACCTACATTACAATCACTCTACATAATTCAAAAATCCAAATTAATCAAAGGATGCTCATACAAACTCAGAGAAGGGTGTCATTATGAAATAAACCTTAACAATCACAATATCTGTTAAGCTATATTTTAATAATCCAGTTAAACAATATCGTAACAGTCACAGTCTTTAGTCAAGAGTCATAAAGGCTCAAGGAATAGAGCACTTGCCTCCCAATGAGGTGACCCAGGTTCAAATCGCAATGTTGGCTGGCAGATATGAATTCTGTTCTTGGCTCATACTGATCACAGTGCTGACATGAGATAAAATATCCTCAGTGGTAGGTGGATCATGTTAGAATCCCCATGCCGTCTGGTTAAACGTGAGAGGTTCTTGTGGAACCCAAAGCTTGAACCAAGAGTTCCATTGTCTACTAGATTGGGGTTGACTGTTCAACACAACAGGCTGTATACATATATCGCTCATGGGCTGCAATAGCGGCACAACTCAAAAAATCAAGTTTTGAGATAAGTGGGTTTAAAATTTTCATTGGCAAGCAAAATGCATAAGAAATGCTTTAGTTTGCCTAAACGAAGATTACACTGGTGGACCGTAACTTCAATAAATGCCAACAGATGGCATCACTAGTTCTAAGAAAAAAACAATATTTTATTTACTCATTCTATTTTTTTACATATTCTGTTTATTCATATTCGAGCTCTAGAATTGTATGTTTTAAATAATTTCCATTTGGTGTTCGATCTAGAACACCTAAAATTACCTTCAAGTTGAATTATGAGTTGTGCTATTGCTGCTGAAAGAATGCGTATATTTATATTTACACCTATTCTTAGTCCAAAATGCGTGTTTTTTGAGTCGTGCCACTATTGCAGCCCATGAGCGATATATATATAAGGGTATGCTGAGATATATATATAGTATATAGAAGTGGCACAATTTGCCGTACCCAGAATTCTGTTAAATATGAAGCATGAAATTAATTATATCATTAAGTTGGAACCATTTACAATAGGATGTTAATCATAAACAAATGGTTATTAATAAATTGTCTGCCAATCGCCACCTAATCAGTACTTTTTGCATTGAAAATGCACCACATGTGCATTTTTTTAAATAATTTTTTCTAAAAATAAATGTGGAATTATTATGAATATTTTATAATATTGAGAAAATTACTTTATTTTCCACTTGTTTCTAAAATTTTTCTTCTTTTCAGAAATAAAACGTGTAATGTTTCCCACATTTTGAGAAACGCTTCAAAAGATATGCCTTACAAAATAAATGTTAAATTTTTTTCAATAGTTTAAAATTAAATTTTCAATATTTTAAAATGTCGCCATATATTAAATAATAGGCCCTAGTTAAAATTGATATAACTGTAGTAGTAAAATTTCCTAATCTTCCCCCATGTTTAATAAAACTTACTTTTTCAGTAGAAGTTTCAAGTGAGGAATTTCTACGCAAAGTGTCTTTCTTAATGTAGACCTCTAAACTCAATAACAGAGCAGCAATATGTTGACAACCTTCAATGAATCTACGAAAAAATATAGAAATTATAATTAAATTGAACTAAAATAAAGGATGCACTGACATTTCATCTACTTCTCCTTAAAAACAAGAAATTAGTATATTACAAAATTAAAATTTAACTTAACTTTTTATGACAGTTATTTCAGTTACAATGTTAAAAATTTTAGAAACAGAATGATAAATTTCTTTTGTTACTTGAAATGAATTTCCATGGAAAATGAATTACCATTTTGTCCTTTTACTTTGCATAATGTACTGAAGTAAGAATTTAAACAAAGTTAACTTCTTTGGTTGAGGTTATAGTTTACAGCTTGAATAAAATTAACAATGACAAAAAATATTAAAACTAACTAGTTTTTATGTGCCTAAATGTTTTATAAGTACTTAGTATCTCAGTTTTTTAACAGTTATTTCAGCTAATTAAAATTTTTGAAGGTTTTAATTGGTTTTTGCCACTGTCTTGTTAAAAAAATACTTTGTTGCTTGATTTATGTTTCCTATCTGTTATTGATAAAATGAAAAATTTTCTACGAACAAAACAACTCAATTAAAAAACTTTCTGCATCAAGTAATTGATTAACTCTTTTAATTAGTTTCAACAGTTTCATCGCGATTTCATCTTGATGAAATTTGTAAAATCACAGATTTTTTAAAAAAAATGTTAAATGTATATTGATTCACACCACAGGGATGAGTTTGATAAAAAACTAAAAAAGCTGAAAAGAGAAATCTAAAAATGTTATGTGAAAAACGCTTTTTAAATAACTGAAAAAAAGAAAACCTAAAAAATATGCAGGAAAAAAGTTTAAGTGGAAAGAATTTACCCACAGTATGTTATCAACGTTATGATAAAAATATCGATGTGAGATTTTATTTATTTATTTAAATTACGCAAATAGAAATTTTAATGCATAATTTTTAAACTATGAGAATACAAACCTTGATGTTTGATTTTAAAAATATCATAAAAAAAAAACTCCACATTTGATTTTAAAATGGCGTGGATACGAAATTCAATGTATAATTTCTAAGTCACTTCTACGTATATAATAATAGTGAAAATGGGAAATATAAGACCCAATCTTAATTATTTTGAATTTAATTTTAAATTGCATTTGCATAGGTAGGAAAAGCAAATTAAGATAAGTATATTTGTTTGCAATATTTGTTTGTTTTGTAGCAGCTAAGGTAAAATTGTATCACACTTGGCATTTCCCTAAGATTTTGCACACCATTTAAAAACTAAATTGAACAATCTTAATTTATCCTAACAAAACATAGAACAAAAAAAAAAAAAAAATCTGGGAATTCTAGATATTTAAAAAAACATCAGTGAAGGTATTAAGACAAAATCATTGCTCCTCCCACTCTTCAGATCATTACAACACATTTATCTGCAATAACACAAATATAATTCAGATACCACTTTGGCAATTATAATTGCCAATGTTGGCATTAAAAAAATCTCCGTAAAATGAGTGTAGGCGATTAACAAATCAGTTCCAAAATTTCATAATTAGATATAGCAAATATAATCAAATCAAGAAATGAAATTTATTACTTACTCATTCATGCAAGTACAATGACCATTTTGAACAGCACCATTGAATGCAATCACAACAAAAGCTCTGTATAGTTTAATAATACCTTCATCGCCTTGCACATCACAAGTCAGTACACACAGCTGAGCATTGTCACATTTATAAACAAGAATATCTTGCACTTTTCCACTTAAAGCTGTTTTATAGAAATTAAGAGTCTTATAGTTTTTGAATTCTTCTCTAGAATAAACTTGGGCTGTTTCAACAAGGAACATGTAGATATCACCAAAGGCAAGATCAGGAACATTATCTTGGGTCAGAGGTTTATATCGATTAAGCCTTAAATTAGTGTCTAAAGGATCAGGTAATCGATTTCCGTTGTATTTCAACTTATCTAGATACAACCTTTTACATTCATCATCTAATCGATGGAAGTACGCATTTGACATCTAAAAAAAGAAAGAAAGAAAGTGAAAGATGATAATACAAGCAACTTCTGAATAACATAGTATTTATAAAATACAGTTTTACATGGATAGGCTTGACTTGGGAAATTTACTTTGGGATAAAACTTGCTATATAAGCAGTCCCTTAAAATAAAAAAAGTATACTAGCCAGTCAAATTCGAGAAAAATGTTTTTGATAATTTAATCATACTTAATATGCTAGTTAAAAATCATTTTGATAAAGGCATAGTGACTTAGTGTTAGGGAACCTACCTAAGAATACGCTTGGAGTTCGAATCCTACTGTGACGTTTTTTTAATACAAATAATATTAACTCGAGGATAATTTTATTTTATTGTATTTTTTAAAATTATTAAATGGTTATTTTTTGATTAGTCACTGATCATTGATCGCAGCTTTCATTTTTCTGTGTGTATCGTTTTGTTTTAACAATCCCACCCCAAATACAATTCTTATATTGTTAATACTCGTTTTGATTGTTTTCCACAAATTCCCTTTTCTATTGTTAGAAATTCTACTGATATATTCCAAAAACTTTGAAACTAATTCGTTTAGAGAAGAAAAATAGTAACACCTGATGCTAATGATGAAAAAGAAGATGAGGATTTTTTAAAGTAAGGGGGGAAAATACCTTAATCATCACATTTCATTTTCATGCAACAGTTGATGAAAATGCTGATATTTGTGGTGTTCTTGGTTCAAGAAATGGTTGCAGAAATTGAAAAAGTGCAATGTAATACCTATGGTGACCATGGAATTCACCACAACCAGGTCTTAAAGGCTTTGGAAAAACAACAAATTTAATTTTTTCAGAGGAATTTACAGAAAATTAAAACCTGTTATAAATGTCAAATATTTATTGTTCTATTTATCCTTTTTTTTGCACCGCCAAAATTCTTGCATTAAGTACATAACTTTTTAAATTAATAATTAAATTATTTATTTTCAAATACATTACTTCTTTATTATTTTTTGCAAATTTTTATGCCAATGTGCGATGTTTTAAGTTGACCCCCGTTCGTCGTTTTCCTGTTTCTAACTGTTGTAATAAATGATCCCCAGAGAAAGACTCGGTCGAGGCTCTACGGTACTTAAATTGGGGTATTTCTCAAAGCTTCTTTTAATAAAGATTTTTTCTGTTTACAAATAGTGTTACTAACTGAAATATAAATTTTATTTTATTCATTGGTTAGTTACTCTAGATAACATTTAAGATACTGTAATAATTTAATCTTTCAGTAAAATGACATGTTAATGTTAAAATAATAATGTTTATAATCAGTGAGCATCCCTAAAAAAATTATTATTTATTTTAGATTTTTATTGCACTATGACTGTTCAAACTATTGATCTTTTAGCTGGGCTACCGGAGAAAGCTTTGTGAAAATTGACAATACCAATGCATAAGCAAATGACACTAGTTGACTTCTATTTTCATTACAGTAAATTCACACAAATAAAATTAAATATATAGGGGAAAAAAAGATAATGGGAGAAAAATCAATGTACATAGATATCAATATAAAATATCAGTATAGCACAGCAGGTGGCATGAAATAGTAAATATCCTTCTTCATAATCTTGGGGACCATTCTGGCGCTGAGTGATTGCCTAGTTTCCACATGAGAAATAAACATTCCATTTAGTTACATAAAGAAAAATATTCCGAGATGGTGATAATGAAAATAGAAACTAACTTAAAATCTTAAATCTATCAGGCCAAATCTCTCGACAAAAAATAAGCACCTTTAAAGTATTTATTAAGCACTCAAAAAATATTTTAACAACTATATACATTAAGAAAATGTAAAATAATTTTCAAAGACTACATGATCATAATAAAATAACTATAATTAGTTTCTGACAAAGAATTCTTTTCTTGATTGTATTAGCCACGATAAAAACATCAAGATTTTTCCGTTCGATTTCAGAGGGTGGAAAATGAAGCCTGAAATTGAGAATATCTTGCAAAATACAGCAGAGTTGCACATGAGAGTGCAAGAATCTCACCGAACCTAGCTCAATAGACGCACACGCGGACTCCTAAGTATTTCAACAAACATGTAACATGGGTGCTATCATACGTTGCGGGCCGACGGTAAGCCGAAATGGATTGTGGTTGAATGATTTGTGAAAACATTGATTAAAAAAAAGTGAAAACTGCGCTTTTGTATAATACACAGGGAAAAAATCTCATTTTTGAAAAAGAAAAAATTAAGCTCTTTTTAAAAACACTCCATAAAAAAGCACCTTTAAGGGCTTTTAAGAAACGAAAATCAGAAATAAGTACCTATAAGCACTTTTTAAAAACGCTACACACCATGTCTATCCAAGTAAAATTGTCCAGAAGTTTTGATGTTAGATTAAGCATCATATTCAGCAAATTTACTTAATGTACATGAGCTTTAATTATTTATCCGTTAAAACAAATGAATATTTAGACTTTTATTGCATATGTGCTTCAGCACACTTAATAGGAACATTTAGAAAAGTACACTGAAGATGATGTTTAAGTGTAGCATATAAACACTAGCTTGCAATTTCAGGAAAAAAATTTACTTTTCGTGGATATTTCTGTATCCTGATCTGTTGCGCCAACGACAACCATCAAGGCGCTAAATGGATTTCAAACCTGCAAGTTTTCTTTAAAAAAGCATGAAAAGTTTGCCTGAGGGTGGCTACGAGTTATACACTTCGATTTGGTCCCTTTCTGTGATGTTTATTTTAGGCTTTTCAAGGACCACTGCCCGAAAGTTGACAAGATTTGGTTATCATTCTACCACAGATCACGTCTTTCCAATTTTTCGTTGGTCTCTGTCTTTGTTTAAGTAGTTAATTCTCTGACACAAACCATGAAATAAATTTATTAGGTATACTTAGTACGGGCAATTATTAAAACAATTATAAACACATTTTCAAACCCATTTACCTTGTGAACAAAGGGAAACTGCAAATTTAATGTATCTAAGGAAAACAATGCATAGATTATTAAAAAAATGAGAAATTCACAATAGTGTTTATTTTTCTTTCATAATAAGGTAATAAACAGCCATTGACGATACAGCATTAACATGTTGTCATGGTTACATATAAAGTTGACTTCACTTCTTGATATATCTCATTTGATTGGTTTTATAGATCTTTATATAACAGCTACCGCGGTTTTGAAATATTATTTTAACTTTTCGGAAGGATTACAACCGTCACTTATGACGTCATAATTTTGTCAAAACAGCGGTTATTTAACTTGAATGTAATATGTTTAAATAAAATAATTTGGATTTAATTAAGTAAACTTATTCTGCATGCAGTTAGAACGTTAATAGGTATGTCATAAAATAAATTAAATAGGCATATAGTTGTCAAGATGCATAATATTTTAAATATTACAGAAGAAAAAAAAGAATTACAATTATTTTCTGAAACACACCTTTCGAATCAACTTGTTATTTTTGAATTTAGAACAAACATATTAATTTTCTTTCGATATTCTGTTCCTTTTATATTATATTTACTATTCAAGCTAGTAAGTAAATTATGAAAAATAAAATTTTAATTATTCATTACTTTTCACAGGTAAATAATTGAACTATGGAGGAATCTGTTGAGACAATTGTCACTCGCTTTATGCGATTGAATCAGCTGTTGCTCGGCAAATCGAATTATACCCTGCCGAAAAAATACCTGGTACATCGAGATGCCTTATTAGACGTTTTGTTTGCTATTTATGATGAGTGCAATGTTGATTTCTTGAGAAAGAATAAGAACATTAATGCTTTTATTGAAAAATGTGAGTATTAAGTTGTGTATTTTTGCATTATTGAAGTTTCATGTGAAAAAAATTTTTTTTGTTGTCCTAGTTATGAGTTTTGTAAAAATTTTTTTAGGAAATGTATGCACTTAAATTCCCATTATTTTCTGTGTGGTTTGTAAATGTTTCTATATTTCATCACTGTTGTACAGAAGTTACTTTTCTATGTTTGCAGAATTTATAAATGTACAGCATTTTGTATTTTCCATTTCTAAAGCACATTCAAAGCTGTTTTACAAAAAAGCTTTTATTTTGATTCTGAATGTATTACAAAATACCATAGAAATATTCTTATTTTTTTTCCAACTTTATTTTATTTGTTTATTTATATTGATAGTTGTCAACTTCATTCTTATCTGCATCAGTTGTTTATATCTTATTGAAACATTTTGTTCAATTTATTATTTTTTTATAATGTTAATCAAATGCTGATACTAAATATATTTTAATGCCACATGCTATAAATTAGGGGCAATATTTTTTTTTCCGTTTAGTTGAATGTGTCTCGCATTTATTGTTCCAATCAGGACACTGAACTGTGATAACTTTAAAATCTGGAAGTTTTATCATCAGAGAAAAGTTAGGTTATTAAATTAAAATACCTTAAAAATCCCAAGATAGGAATTTGAGTAGGAATTGTTTACAAGTTGAATATTTTTTTCTAAAAAATTGGTATAAATTATAAAGAATATTTTTCAATGTTTGACTTTTCAATTTTTATCAATAACAGATATCTACTAAAATTTTTTATTTTTGCCATAGTCATTCTTTTATTTTTATTATAGTTAAAAAATTATGTCAATGTTCACTCCTTCAAGCAATTATTTTCCCCCAAAAAGTAAATTTAAAATTTGTTTATCAAACACTGTCTTATATATGAACATACGTGTCAATAGATATTTATGTCAACTATCAGTAAATATTTCTCTAGTTAACTAAACATTACTAACAGACTAAACATTTACATTGTTTTACTACAGCTATCAACTTGAATATTATCATGTTAAATGCTTGTTTATTTTTACTACAATTTTTTAGTATATACATAAAGTTCAAAATAATATATTAAGTTCAAAATGTAGAGAAAACATGGAACAAATTACCGATTAAGGAAAAAAGAGAAGATGAAAATCAATAATAATAATAAAAAAAGAAAAACAGTAAGAAACCGAAGAAAAAAAGATATTTCTTCATCAGCTCACACGATTATATCTACAAAAAGGAGTCTTTTCTAATATTGTATCTATGTAGCCAAAACAATAGTATAAGGAGCACATATAAATTTTTTTGAAACAAAATATAATAGTATAGAAAATTCTTTTTTCTTTTTGTCCTTTTTGTATTCATTTATTGTGATATATATGCATATTCAATTTAAGTGACCTGTAAAAGTGTTTTAGTGCACACGAAATGAACAAGATAAAACTGAAAAATTAATATTGACATTTATGCCATCCGTCAAAAAAGGAGGAGTAAAAAGTGTTTTTTTCAGGGAAATTTTTTTTCTGAGATTTTTTGATCATTTTGACATTATTGTAATATTTAATATACATTTTCTCCAGCTCTTTATCTACCAGTTTAGTTTTTTTAATGTCATTTTGTTGATCATATCCAGGGGTCCGTCCAGGCTAAATTTACTGCCGTTTAGTGGTACTGTCACAAATTCAACTTCAGGAAAAAGAAAATACTTTTTCTGAAAATTTTATTTTTGTATCTCGTAAGAAACGATAAATCCATATTTTTGTTTTGATATTTTAATATAATTTTTAATGTTCACAAATTATGTCTAAATTTTCACAAAATAGGTACCTCTCAGAAAAACCGGAACAGACCCCTGATATCTAAATAGGCTTCTTGGGATGTGTTTTTTATATTTAAAAAAAATTTTCTTTACAATTTTTTTTGGTTTGAAAATTAGGATTAATGCGTCTTATATTTTAACTTATCGTGCAATATTATTTCCCTTCTTGCCTTTAATTTAATATCAAATATTTTAAATTACAAAAAATTATGATTTTTATTGTGTTTTCTAGTTAGGATTGTTATGCCTGAACTGAAGACAATGAGAGTAAATCTGAAAGATTTTGAAGTGAAGAAAGTTATTGGCCGTGGACATTTTGGAACTGTTAATGTTGTGAAGGAAAAAGCTACTGGTGATGTTTATGCTATGAAAGTGCTTTGTAAGCAAGAAACTCTTAACCAGCAAAATGTGAGACCTAATATTTTAATGAAAATAAGTACAATTTTTAATATAAAGTAGCATAACTGTTTCTTCAGTAGGCTGCAGTAATTGTTTTTTAGTGATTGCCTGTTATGAATTTATTTTTTATATCAATTGGATTTTAATTCTTCAATGTAGCAAAAGCAATATATTCTATATTTAAATAATACAGCAAATAATATATGATGTTTACAAAAAAATTAAGTTCGAAGTTTAGCTGTATATACTATGCTTTACTTACATCTTTAATTTTTAATTAAATCTTTGAACTACATTTATTGAACATTCTTTACAACAAAAAAAAATTCGATGTTAAAAGATTGGAATTTTGTCGACACCTTAAATCATAATAAACTTTAATATTTTGTCATTTAAATCTTATAATTTTAAGTTATTTAAAATCAGTTTGTAATACTGATATAAAATTACACCAGGGTTCTCAAAAATCTGGATTTTTAAGAAAAACCCTAGCCTATGTGGCTTTTTTTTAAGGTTTTTTCATGACAAAATTTAAATTTTCCTAGAGATAAGCCTGTTTTTTTTAATATATGCCAAGTATAAGAATAAGATATTTATATACTGAAAAATTTTTTGCTTGATTATTAACAAAGGGCTTAATAAAGGAAATGGTTATGAGAATAACTATTTCAGTAATTTTTTCTGCTTTTTAAATGTATAATAATTTGCATAAAAATAAAGTTATTGAAATGATTCTTTGTAAAATACAAAGCATTATATGTTACATATGATTAGTTTTAAATTATAAATATATATTCTTGAATGAGTGAAATACACATGTCTTTTTGTAGTATATGTTGTGCTCATTTGGATTTTTCAATATTAGAATTCTTCATGTCTTACAATGTACAAAAATTATCAACTTGTTTTTTTATTTTACTTTTTACATTTGAAATAAATTAAGAGATAAAATTTTTTAAACATTTGCGTTTAGAGCCTTCGACATTAAGAATTTAAAATTTTCCGGAATAGGCGAGAATACTCATTAAATTTAAATAATGTATGAACAGACTTAGATTAAATGTAAAACTTCTGCAAACTCAAAATTTTAATTGAAAAACTTTTTGCAAGCAATTTAGAACTAATTTCAATTCTTTTGCCACTACTCAATTTTGATAAAATTTGTTCAAAATTCGCTTAATTTTTAAAATGTCTTGATTATTATTCATGCCAGATTGATTATTATATATTGATTATTGTACTCACACATTATTATATTTCTTTAAATTTGGGGATTTTTTTGGAGGATATAAAACTAGTTATTGACTCTGTTTCTGTTGTATCCAAATTTTCTAAAATAGACAGCGGGGTATAATGTTTGAATTCTGACTTTTTTTAAATTTTTTTTTTTTAATAATGAATAATCATACTTTTTTTATTGTGAAATACAATAGCACATGTACATTAATTATTCATATCTGTTGAGCAGTTTGTCACGACTTTTATGTGAAGCCATGTATGCAATCCTATGTCATACTTTGATTTTTGATGAAGACTAAGTAGGTAACTTATTTTGTTTGGTTTTTTAGGTTGCTTTTTATGAAGAAGAAAGAGACATCATGATAAAATCGTCAAGTCCATGGCTTACTAAGCTCCAATATGCATTTCAAGATAATCAGAACCTGTATTTAGTTATGGAATTTCACCCTGGTGGTGATTTGGTATCTTTACTGCAGAAGCATGATTATGTATTACCAGAAGAAATGTGCAAGTTTTATTTAGCTGAACTTGTCTTGGCCATTAATAGTGTTCACACTTTAGGATATGTTCATAGGTAAAATTTTTTTTAATGAGAATTGCTTTCATTAGTTTTGGCCTAAATTTGTTAAGTTACTTTGCAAGTGGCATTTGCAAAGATATTTTGTTAAAGCTGACAACAAGTTGATAAAATCTGAGATGTTTAAAAATTTGCAATGAAATAAAATTTCTGTCTCGAAAGTGACATTCAAAATAAATAAATGAATAAAAATTTAGTTTTAAGAAATAATAATGAATTAAGAGAGAATTTTAAACCAGTGAGTTAGTAAATTTTACGAAATATTTTACTATTTTTGTTTTTTTTTATCAATGTATTCTGATGGTAAATGTAATAATTGTTTTGAAAGTGATATATAATGTAATTTATAGTAATTTGACCTTATTCTTAACTTATGTTACATACATGTATGGAAATTTTAATAATTTTTTAGGGACATAAAACCTGACAATATTTTGATTGACCGAACAGGCCATATAAAATTAGCTGATTTTGGTTCTGCCGCAAGATTGAACATGAAACAGCAGGTAATAATATCTTTCTGCATTAGAACCAGTTATTAATTTTACAATGAAGTTGAATGTTTAAGAAACTTAGTTTGATTATTGTGTCTGCTTTAGGTCACCAGTATCATGCCAGCAGGTACTCCAGATTACATTGCACCTGAAGTTTTGATTGCGATGAATGCTATACCTGCATCCAATTATGGCTATGGCTTAGAATGTGATTGGTGGTCTTTGGGTATTGTTGCTTATGAAATGACCTATGGGTCAACTCCATTTACTAGCGATAAAGTCCTCTTTACTTACAACAATATTATGAATTTTAAGGTAAGAGCCTTGCTATCAATGATTCTGCTAGATTTTAAATACTACTTATCATCAGGACTTTAATGTTTCTGGATTCTTTTTTATCAAAAACAATTCCTAATTAAAATCAGTGCACCATTTTAAAGATACCAAAGAGAAGTAATTATTTTTTATTTTAATTTTTAAAAGACGTTATTTTCACTAAAACTTAGTTTTAAGCTTTCTAAATCTTCATGAATTACAGAAAGTTATGAGAAATAAATTAAATCAGCAATTTATATGATGTTTTAAACAATGTAGAGAAAAGGGCAAAGAAAAGTTCTGCAATTTTTTTTAAAAGATGAGATGAAAGTGATCTGGCATATTTAGAAGAGGATAAATTCTGTACATCTTTGTAAATCTAATTATTATGCACATTTATAGATATTCCACATTACTTCTATTGATTGACAAAACTAGAAAAGAGTTACATTTGAAGGGTCAAGGCTTTTAATTACTAACAACTTCTAATATTATGTTATCCAATGATAGAATAGGAAAATAGTAGTTTCATTTGCGTTTTCAAATATTTTTAAAGGAGTTTACCCATTAGCTTATTTTCCAACTGAAATTACATTTTAATTTCAGGCTATTAATTAAGAACGTATACTTAATTATTTTGGTGCATATATTTCTTAAAATCAGATAGTTTCTAATCTTTTTTAAAATTTATTTTAGAAATTTTTCAAACTTCCACCTGAGGCCTCTGAAGTTTCAAGTTTGCTAAATGATGTAATTGAAAACTTACTAAAAGAAAGTTCCATCCGTTTTGGTTATGATAAACTGACTGCTCATGAACTTTTCTTAGACATTGACTGGAATAATATTCGTAATAGTAAGTTTCTGAGTTGACTATTTATTATGCTTCCTGTTAGCTATTTGTTAGCTCAGTAGTTTTTAATTTTCTGAATCTGTTGTAATAGTTTGTAAGGATACAGTATCATTTTTTTTTGGTGGTATCATTTTGAAATTACGGTTTGTGTTTTTTAAGATGTAATAAAAATATTTCTCTAATTCTTTAACATTCTTTTTTCCCCTCTTCCCCTGCAATTGCAACCACAAGTGTAATGTAGTCTTAATAGTTTGAAATCTTCTTTAATGTAATGTTCATATTAATTTCAGAACTATTAAAAGTTAATACATGATGGTAGGCTGTCAACTGGAGCAACCTATTTTATAAATAAGAATTATGTTAATTCTAATGTAGATATTAGTTTTGCTGTTTAAATAGGAATATATAGCAAAACTAAATTATGTAACCATGAGTGGATAGCAAATAAATATGAAATAAATTAAGAAAAAATAAAGAAAGAAATAATCATTAAAAATGAATAGCTGAATTTAATGTGATTGCTGTTTGTTGCTGACTTACATGTGAATTCTAGGAGCTAAACCAGGTACGGCCACATTGAATGTCACTGTAATTCGTAAAGTTACCGTAAAGCAGAGGCGCAAGACTTAGTCGATTTCAATGTTTTATTTAAATAACACTTCGTATGATGCTCAATGTAGTTTCTCATACATTTGCAGCAATGATGTAAATAAAGTGAACAAAATCTTAACAGCAGCTTATGGAATTAAAAGAATGTGCTTTAACAAAATATCGTATTATTTGATCTGTTAAAAAATAAAATAGCTACTGAAAGAGAAATAATCGAATTAGAGCAGAAATTTTTTTTAAGCTTTTACTAATAAGTATCGAAAAAGTGTTTATTGTATTCTATATTGGATAAGTAACAAATTAAGGTGTTTGCAGTCAATCAGCTAGTGTTGAGTTATATATCCATAGATTGTAAAAATTTTATATTTTTCCAACATCCTGAAAATATTTTAGAAAGTATTTTTGCGATACATGATGAGTATTTAATAAATGTCACAGATATGATCATTATCAGCTACAGTGAATGCCAGATATGATGATTTCTTACATTTTATCAATAACTATAATTACCAATTATAATTATTCTCTTATCACTGAGCATTAGTGTCTGCTATTTAAATTAAATAATTAAAAGCATTGATTTAAACCACAATTTTAATTACTTGATTTTTTTTTTGGATTTGTATTGTGGAACATATCATTAAACAAAAATAACCCCATATTTTTTAATTTATTTTGAATGTTTGGTTTGTTGCTGATAATGAAATTTTTAAATGAAATAGTAATTGTCCCAACTCAGAATTACATTGTATAGTATATTCATAATGTGTATTCATGTTTTTAAATATGAATAGCTAATATGTATATTCATGTTTGTTTATATGAAAAGTTAAATTGAGTTTTGTTTAACTTATATTTTTCCAGCTGTGCCACCTTTTATACCGAATGTAACAAGTGTAGATGATACTTCAAATTTTGATGATTTTGAGCCTGAAAATCGGCCAGTTTTTAGTGAACTGAGGAACAAGAAAGAATTTAGTGCTAAAGATTTGCCTTTTGTGGGATTCACATATACTCCTTCATTTGATAACAGTTTCGAAAAGTATGTTTAAATAATTTACTAATTCAAAAAGTTATTTAATAAACAAGGATCTTTAGCGAGTTCTCTTTTTTAAAAAATTTGACTTAGTTATCTTTATTAAAGTGAGAAAGGAGTGATATTGTGTAAATAACTTTTGAGATATTTAAAGCAGCATCAAATAATCTAATTGAATAGCTTTGTGAAATAATATCATAACCTAAGTGGCATTTCAGTGTGTTTTACTTTTTAAAATTAATTTTAAAAAGTGAATCTCAGAATAAACATAAATAAAAAGTACGCAAAATGTGCAATGCATTGGTAAGGAGAGGTATATTAAATACATAAGAAATATAAATATGCATAAGAAACTAAAAGCCAATAAAAATCAAATTAAAATATAAGTATATGAAGTAAATTAAACATAATTATAAATGAAGTTGTAATTCCTAAAATGCAGGACAAATAAGAAAATTTTAATGAGCTTTTAAAATTTCATTTAAATTTTTTTTGATAACATGAATTATTTCTAATTAATGTTTAATTCCTCTTTAATTTTTAAATTTTTTAAAAATAATTTAACTTTTATGTGTTTTCTGTTTTATTTTTTCACCTCTTAATTTATCTACTGTATTGTTGCATTATTCGTTATGATTATGAACTGAGGGAATTTTTTTTTTCTAGACTTATAGTAGAACTGGGATGTATTTAAAAAACTGGTTTTGATATTTGATTTATTGTTATTCTAATGTACTAATTCCATTTACTAATTTCTTAATTTTTTTAATTTTCTGTTTCTCTGTGTTTGTGCAGAGTATTTTTACACTTTATTGAATGATGTATTAATTAACTGCATGATACTGCTAGAAATAATAATAAAAGATTAAAAACATTTTTGATGAATTAAATGAAAATGATATATACTTTGTAAATACTTAAAATATTTTGGATTTTTCATAGATCATTCACTACTGATGAGAGTAGTTCACATTATGTTAGCCTCGATTCGACAGACTCTTTTACTAAGAATAGAGCATTGATTGAATTACAGAAAGTACTTGCTGATCACATGAGCATGGAATCATCTTTAAAAAATGAAATCCAGAAATTAAAAGATACAGTACAAACTAAGGAAAAAGAAGTTGAAATTGCAAAACAGGAAAAATCTCTTGCTAATGAATTAATGTCTGAGTTACAATTGGAAGTGCAGGTCAGATTTTTTTAAATTTTATGTTTATATAAATATAATTATACAATATATTAACGTCAATTTTTTTTAGTTGTTAAAAATAAAATTCGTAAAAAATTTGTTTTAGCAAATGAAAGAGCTTCTTTGTTATGAGCGTGATCATAGAACAATAACAGAGAAAAAAGCAACCCAGCTTGTAAGATTAATGAAACAGAAGCAAAAGCAGGATGCTCTTCTTTTAAAATCAAAAAGGTAATTTTAATAAATAATGGTGTTTTGGTTTGTCCCCCCCCACAGTACGTTAACTATTGCGATTTTTATTCTATATTAAAAAGTAAAGTTGAGAAATAGTTATCTTTAAAAGTAATAAGTACTTGAGCACAATCAACTGATTTTTTTTGGTTTAAAATCATTTTGTGTTGTAATATTATTTAAAAGTAAAATATTTTATTTTTAATCATTTATTTACTTTCAAGTTTATTTTTTTCTAAAATAACATACTTTGATGTTATTAATTTATGTAAATCATATGAAAATTTTTATAAATAAATAAGTAAATTTTTTGTATTACTAGTATTAACTTTTTAGCTTACAGTGTTGATTAACTCTCTCAAACAAACTCTGAACAAGCAGTGAAACAATATGCAGAGTTTTGAACAAATATTTAAATTTAGGTTTTGTTTAAATTTTCTCAATATTAAAAATGTAACAATTAAAGAGAAAAATGGTTTCAAAATTGTAAATAATTTTCCAATTTCCAGGGTCAGTTATTTGTATAAATGATTAAAATTTAAAATTTTCATTAATATATGAGGTGAATCATTGTTTCCAAGTTTTATTTAATATTTTTAAGTACTATTTTTTCTATCAAATGAACTCTGCTCGCCATTTGTTCAGAGCAGGTTGAGGATAGGTTTTTTTTCCTTCTCACATTAGCAAGAGAAACATCAAAATCTCTCCTGTTTGGAATGCAATTCCTTACAATAGCAGCAGGCAACTCTAGACTCCAAGGTGGGGATGTTCGTTCATTTGATAATAAAATTTTTTTAACAAATAAGGATATAAATCAAGATGTAGATATAAAGACACACAGTTTTGCTTTGTTATACAATAAGCATGTAAAATTTCAATTCATAGTTTCAACTCATTATTGCAAAAAATATAGAATTTTGATGAATTTTACAACTATAAACAAAAAAACAGCTGCAACATTTTGAAATTATTTATTTATTTTTTTACAATATCCTGAAAATACTTAGAGAGGTTTTCTGTTAAATCTTAGGTTTTAATATTCATTCACTGGATCTTGTACTGTGCTCATTCATTTTCATTGTTTTCAATTGATTAAGAAAAATCAATATATATGTATTGTGAGCTGATAAAGGGATTATATCCCCCCCCTGGATTTTTATTGATATTTTTGTTTTATTTTTATTATGTTTTTTATTTTAAAATTTTTCTTCCCTTTTCATTCTGTAATTTATGTTTTCTCTCTCTCTCTTTTAAATCAAGCATGAAAAAAAAGGCTGTAATAATAGACTATGTTACACAATAGAATATATTTGGAAACTAAGTTCCTAATTACTTTGCTTATTAAAACTTTCTTTTCTTGCATTGACAGCTTTTACGAATTAGAAATAAACTGTTGTGTATGTTTTGTTCCTTTTTCTCATTAATATTTTAAAGTTCTGTAAACATTTCAGTGTTGAGTACCACCAAGGAGAAAGGGAAATTTTAAATTTAGAGGATAATTTAGATGAAGCTAATCGTAAAATCGATGACTTAATAAAGGAAAAAGCGGATCTTCTGTCAGAGCTTTATGATACCAAGCATATGTTATTAGAATGTCAGAAAAAACTATCTGAGGTAAATAGTTTTTCTTTTTATCTTCTAGTAGAGCTTTAGACTCTATATTATTATTATTCACTCATAATTGATCATTCCTTGGTATACATCATGCAAATATGAGTTGACGATTATGTAATTGTTTGCATGAAAGTTTCTATAATTTTTAGTATAATCATTTCTTTTCTTCGTTTAGAATCAACAAGATTTATTGGCTTCTGAGTTAAGTCTCAGCATGAACAATTCCAATACGAGTGAAAGCTTGAAAGTTAGTAATTTTTCTTCTAAATATTGTTTTTTGTTTGATATTAATGAGTTATTTCATTTTTAATATTTTTGTTATTTAATATTGTGTATTCTAAATTTGATTGTATGATATGCATTAGGATGCCAATCAAGTTATCTGGCAGATTAATTAGGATTTCAGTTTTTAAGAAAAAATTTTCCTATTATTTTTCGATTTATGAAGTTGAAATATACATAATGCTACAAAAATTTGTACATCTTTTTAAAATTTGAGCAACATGAGAATCAGATTAATAAAGTATGCTTTGAAGACTAATGTGTATATNTACATATTTCTATTAATATAAAAAGTTTCAGAGCTTTTTATTCACTTTAATTTTTTGGGATTTTATGAACTGAAAAATGACAGTTTTCGTGAGAATGACCCATATATGCATGCTGGAAAATAAGTTTTTTGAAATCTTATGTTAAAATTAAAAAGAAAGCGCATGTAGTTTTTCACTGTTTAATCTGAATATACTTTCTAACTCAGTAACTACCTTAAACAAGTAGATTATGAATTCACCTTACCTGGAAGTGAACATACTGGTTGTAAGCAGCAATTCTGATTTTCTTGTCATTCCAGTAGTTAAACATTCTATTGCTTGACCCTATGGATTCAAAGGAACAGTCTATTCTTTTACTCTCACCAGCAAGTTGCTCTTTGTTGTGGATTCATGATTTTTAAAGAATGTAATTTATATTAATATAATATAATAATAAAAAATGCAGCATTCCCTCAACAGCCCTTGGTGGGCCAGGGGGATCCTGGTGGTCAAGGCTCCATAGTTTCGTGACTTATGGCATGATTGAGGCAATATGGTCAGCACCTGATACAGGCTGTCTTTATTTCCCAGACTAGTACCCATAGATCTGAGGCTGGAATAGTAAATAACATAATAATAAATAACTGAATTAGAAATTTTGAGAAACTGAAATTTTATTGATTTTTTTTCTCTTTAAATTTATTTATTCTGTTCATTTATAACAAATTTATTTTATAGAGTTTTCTCGAAATATTACAATTTTGGGTAGAATAAGTTATTTTCGGTAAACTTGCATTGTCCTTTTGATATTATTTTTCTATTTCGACAAATTACTCTATTTTTGAATTAAAAGACATCATAATTATTTTTAGTTGTTCTAAGATTAGTTGGGAAATTTTTTGAGTGAATTATTTTTGTTATTTATTGTGTAAAACTCTTAAGATATTTTTTTAACATTTCAAATTTGATTAAGATTTCAAAATTAAAAAATGACGGATCCCATTTAAGTGTGTTCTTGTAATTATTTTGAGTTAACTTGTAATTATTATGCTTAGTTATTATTTTTGCATGCAACTGTTGGTAATACTACAATTTAATTTTTAATTTGCCATTTAAGGTACAATCTCCTATTGTTGAAAAGAAACTTGTAAGAAAATTGGAAAGAAAAAATATTCAACTAGAGCGAGAACTGGAAGCTGCAATCAAATCAAAGCATGATGCAGATGCTGAAATTTTGTCATTGCAAAACACAATTTCTGAGCTGAATAATAAAACAGCACAATTAAGTGTTGAAAGTAGAAGTGTCAATACTTCATATACCGAGAATGAAAGTGTGAGTTTTCTATTTGTTTATCTCGCACTGTAAGTTTTCTATTTGTTTAATTCGCGCATCACTTAAATTAATTCCCTTAACCAATCCTTTAAATATTCGAGTGTGGGGCTTCTTTTTAGAGGTGAAAGAGCTTTGTAGATGAAAGTAAATTTCAAGGTCAATTTGTCTTTTGTGCTAAAAATAATTTTTTACTTTTTATTATATTTTGTATATTTTTGTGATGACCTTATTTTACAATACATATTTTTTTTATTACTGTTTTAGTTAGTTTAGACACACAAAGATCCAGTTATAACTGCACATTTTGTATGATATATAAATCTGAGACTTAAAAAAATCATCAAGTTTGCAAAGGTTTGCTTAAATTTTTCGTACTTAATTTAAAAAATTCATTCCTAAATTTCATCCTACCTTTCCTCTCGATATTTAGTTCATATTATAATATTGCTAATCTAAGATTTAAATATTTTTGTTGTTGTTGTTATTTTTTTCTTATTTTTTAAAATCATTTTTTCTTTTAAATCTTTATCTTTTCAAAGTGTTAAAATAAAATTCATAGACATTTATTCTGAAAAACTAGTATGTCTATATGCAAACTGGGTGAATCTTTTTTTAAAACCATATAAAAATTTTCATACTTAACATCAAAATAATTGCTTTTTTAGCTCTAAAGACTATTTTTTTTCTACCTATAGTTCAAATATAGTCTATAAAAATACTCACTTCTTCAGATCACTAAAAACAATCTTAGTAGGTATAAAATAAATGTGATTCTAATAAAATAGATATGATAATATGAATATACGATATGAAAATAATCTACGATTAAATTTTTTTATCAATGACAGTCCACACTAAGCATTGATAGATATTGTGGCTTTCTTTATTCTGTCTCAGTTGACATTTTTACAATGTCAAGAAGAAATATGTTATTTTATTAGTTTAATTGAAAATCTCATAGAGGAAGGTATGTAAAATTTTCGGTTCAAAGATATGCCTTTTTTATTCATTTAAATATTTTTTTTTAATGCACGAAGATGGTTTTAGGAAGTTTTTTGAGTCTATATTTTTTATGTCTGTTAGTGAATTCACAGTAATGTCATTAATTTTCTTTCATTTAGCTTTCTTTAATAAAGTTATTTATTTACATCCATAGTATTTTTATTTCAAATTAAATGGTAAGAGTATTTATTTTCTTGAAATGCAAATTTTAGTTACCATTCGGTATTATTTTACCAGGGAAATTTTTTTGCTGTCTAAGTCTCATAATTTTTTTTTAAGTATACTACAGTATCATCAAAGGAAGCAGAGGAAAGCATTTCTTCAAAGGATAGTGAGATTACAGATCTGGAACAGAAGCTCTTTAATGAGCAAGAATTATGTATAAGTTTACAATCAAAATTACAGGTAATTTTTTGTTGTTGATTTTCTGTTGAATTTTTAGAGCTTTTCTGTGATTTTAGTAAGAGGTAAAATTCTAAATGTAATTCATATTGACTACATATATGTATTTACTATCGTTTATTTTTTAATATATTTATTAATAGAATTCTGAAACAGAACTTGATAAGCTGCAGAAAAATCTAAGTAATATGGAGGATAAAATCAAGAATCTTGAAGAGGAGATATCTTCTTTGAGAAAACAGCAGGTAATAAAAATATTAATTCTGCTTACGTTATTTATTATATAAGTCAAAATAAAAAATTTAAATAATAACTTACTTTTGCGTAGCTGCTAACCTAGATTGAATTTTGCCATTTTCTCTTCTCAAAAATTCTACTTGTTTTCCATTTTAGAAAAATCCCTAAAATTGGAAAAGTTTCTGAAAAAAATCTCTGTCAAAAGCATTTTTTTATATTTTATTTCTTGCTTGAGTATTACTGTTAAATAATGAAGTATATAATCATGTATTGTAATCAATTTGGAGCTTTCTTTCAATAATCTTAAATATTCAGTTTTTTTATAGTTTGCAGCTTTCTGTTTTTAAATAATTTAATTAATCTATAACGAATTAAATGTGGGTCTAAAAAGAAAAAGTGCAAATTTGTAAAATCAAAAGTGAAATAAAAACTACAAAAACGTGTTATTATCTAGTTAAATCATAAACGGAAAATATTGCAGTCTATTTAAATTTATAGGTAGTAGTGTCATGCAGTTTTGTATTTCATTGACTATAATGATTCCATGAATTCCTTTTGTCTAAAATATTTAGTATATTATTTAATACTTTTTCATGAAATCTGCTGATTTGTTTTTATTTTTCATGTTAACAGTTATGCATTAGGCATCAAAACTTAATTAGTATTCTTTATCCAGAAGCTGTGGAAATCTTTATTAGGGAATAGCAATAGGTTGAATAGGTTTTTACCAGATGTTTTAATAAAAAAAAAATTGAATGTTCTGGTATATGTGCACATTTAGCATTTATTACCATTATAATAATTTTACTTTTGTTACTTAACATTTTCTTGAATTTTATTAATTTATAATAAATTATTTGATATTTCTATCTGGCTTTAAACACATTATTTTAGTCTTTTAATTTATATTTTTTCTTAAATTGTGTATTGCAGATTGCTTGTTACAGATAATTAGATTATTATTAAATAATACACTTTCCTTGAACTTAACATTGTAACAAAACTAGGAATAGAATATTCTTATGTGGTATAGATAAACCTTCATTTTATTGCTTAAAACCTTAAGTGCAAAATTCTATTTAAATTGTGCTGTTTTATTAGATAAGTGTTTTTTTCAATTCCTACTGTTAGTTCACATTCTCCCTATATCTTGTTCATATTTTCAATCGATAATAAAATTCTTTTTATTCATCTCTTTTTATCCATCAAAAAAATGTATTCTTCAAATACATTTTTTTGAACTTGTAGTTAATACACTTGATGTTAATACAGTTTTTTCAATATTAATTCATTAATTAAATAGGAATGAGCAAAAAACGAAATGGAATTTTCTGATTGGTTAAGCGATAGTCATTGTTTTAAATTTTACTATAAGCCATTCTGCTTTTCACGTATTTTAAAAATAACTTCAATGATAATTTCTAACTTATAGCACTATTTATACAAAGAAAAATAGTTTATTGCGCCCATTTAAATATTTAATTATTTTATACTCGCTGTGTCAGATAAATTCAATAAAGAACATTGTCAACACGTGTGGTCCACGTCACCAAATTTATACTTTTATAGTTGTCTGAAACCGCACCCTTTTTTTTTTCAATTCCTAGTATTAGTTCACTCTTTCCCTAGTATTAGTTTATATACCTTGTTCAAATTTTCAATCATTAATAAAATACTTTTTATTCATCTATTCAAGTTCAAATAAATTTTTTTAAAACTTTTAGTGGATGACACTTGATGTCAATGCAGTTTTTTCAAATATTAATTCATTAATTAAATTTAACTAATTAGTTTTAGTTTTATATGGGAGAAAGTTTTTTAATTATTTAAGAAAAAGTAACTGAAATTAAAATTTTCTTAGTTGACCTAAGTAGAAGGGTTAGGTTTTTACATTTAAATAAATTGATATTTATAGCATATAGTAGTTTGTTATTGTTTATCTATTTCATAATAATTGCGTAATTTGATGTATAATTTTTTTTTTGGTTTTTGAATTAATGCAATTGTACTTAAAAGCTTGCAAATTATTATTTTTGCTATATAGTTTCCTTATAAGAACCATTTTTTAAATAAGTTTTTACTTTTAGGTTCTTGATAATGGTACGAAAAATGAAAATGAGTTGAGCCTTGATATCTCTTGCCATTATGTTAGGAAAAGTACTAGCAGGAATGATCGACAAGATAAGTTAGTATAATTAAATGTTGTCATTTTTTATTTATCTGCTACTACAATTTTTATTGATCTATTTTATTTATTTATTTTCTACTTTCAGTAATTTAGTTTGTTACTTTATAGTTTTATAGTTTATTTTGATTGTTTTACTAAGAAGAACTCAAATATTAAAAAAGATAGGTTGTAATTAATCAATAAACAAAAAATAAATAAGTAAAAAAACGGTTTTAGTGTGGATTTCAGTAGATGAGTTTAGATTGTGTCAGTAGTGTATCTATAATCTCTCACAAACTTAAAATATTTTTAAAAAAAAGTAAGTTACTAAGTAATTAATTGATATCTTATTTGCCAGTATAGTAAAAAAAAATCATATTTTGTCTTTAATTTAAAAATGGTTCAAAAAGCTGCATTTCTATACATGAAAAATATGAATAATTAAAATATATGCCTTATTAAAAGAAATGATTTTAGAAGCCCTTAAATGAAACATTATTTTACAGTAACTGAATCTGTTGACAAATATAACTTATACTGTAGTTAAATTTAAAATGGGTATTTTTATTGGCTGGTAGTATCAATGATCTCTTTGACTTGTATGCATTTAAGAACTCACACTTGTAAAATAATGAAAAATAAATAATGAGAGTTATTAAAAATGAAGGCAATAATCTGAGAAGTACATACGAGAATCAAAATGAAAAGATGCATTTATATAATTACAATTATTATTTACTAATTACAATAAAATTATTATAAAATTCATTCTACTACTATTGTTGTACTATTTTATCACTATATGACTGTTTCTCAAAATAAGAAACTGAAAATTTTAACACTTGACCTGATGATCAAATTTTCTCATTCCAAGATGCAATCTTAATTTTTTAAGAAACTGACCTTAAGTATTATAGTTATTTGATACAGGTGAAAAAATAAGTTTTTAAATGTAATTACTCAAAAACCCAAATTCAAACTTTGCATTTTGTAATTAAAATTTGCCCAGTTTGAAATTATGTGAAAAATTTCTATATTAGAGTATTCAAAACCTTATTACATAATTGGGTACTTACCTTTGGTATGTACCCAACTTACTTTTGTACTTGTTTGGTACTTACACTTTTGGTTCCCTTTTCTTATGTTGAGATGTTAGTTATGTTGAAATGTTGTATCTTTTGTATTTAATTACTTTAGGTAATCTTGATTTGTTTCTTTTTATGAATCTTGGAGAAACTTGATGAATCTAGATGACTTTCATGTAATGAAAGTAAATGCAGAAATAATATTTTAAGATATATGACCTTTTAAATTTTCAGATTATTACTTTCTGACATGAAGCATGAAAATAATTGTTTGAAGACCAAAATTGAATCACTTACATCTGAAGTATCAGATTTAAAAAACAACTTGAAGAACAAGGAGAATACATTATCAGAAATGCAAAGACAATTGTCTGAAGTAATATTTGAAGTCATTAATTTCTTTTTTGTAATACTTGATTGTGACATTGATTGTGGTTGTGACACCAATATTAAATTATGGAAAATTATTTTATTTATTAGTTTAAGTAAAAATGTATCTTCAAAGGGTTTTGAAGATACATTTTTATTTAAAACACAAATTTTAAATGGCTGCATTTAAAATTGGCTTTTTAAGTGTAGCTATTTTGCCTTAGAAATTTTATTCCCAATATTGTTGATGTATAAGTGTGTGGGAGTAAATTTCCACATATATGAATATACATTTCTGTTCTGTTTTATTTTTCTAATTAGTAGAATTTTTTCTCCTATTTTTTATTCACATGAGATTTTTCTTCGGATCCGTGATTTCTGGTTTATTTATTATTTTTCTCTGTTTATTTCCCTTTTTTTTATATTATAACATTATTGAAAAATAAGCAATTTGCTAAAAGATTTCTATTATACATTTTTCAAAAGGCATATAAACTAATCAAATAAAACCCTATGTCCATGAATTGATGGAGACTGAGGTTAAATGTTTCCAATTTATGGCTTATAAAGTGATCTTAATTAATCTTTGTAAAGTTGTAGGTTTAATTAAACTGAAGTTTTTGAAGTCAATTTCTCTATGTAGTCTTTTATTTTATATTAATATTTTTCATTTTCGTGTGGTAGTTTAATTTTATCTACACAATTAATCTTTACCTATACAATTTAATTTTATCTATACAATTTGTAACTTCAATTATATCTTACACAATTTGAGCATATTTTAAATGCTATATTTTCTTACCTATTGTTCCATAAATGATATTAGTCATGTTAGAAGTTTGAAAACTTAATGTAAATTATTGCTATTGAGTATTAAATGTAGAATAAAGAAATGTGTTGTTCGAAATGAAATTTTCAAAGCTGTGGATTGCACTAGTTTTTTTTTTAGCTGTTTCTCATTTTTTAAAAGTAGTCTAGTATGTATAAAATATGTACTGATTACAAAACCATTCCAAAAAATGTCTTGATTTTTTTTTGTGAAAAATATTGTCTGGCTTTTTCTTTTGTAAAATATTGTCCTGATTTTTATTTTGAACCACTACAAAGCATGAATAAGTAATTTTCTCTTCCACTTTTTTAAATATTTGTGATAATTTAGTAAAGGAATGGCTCTAAATTCATGACACAGACAGAAATTCTATGATTAATGAAAAAAAATTTTTTGGGGGTACTTAAATCTATTGAATAATGAAATAATTGAATAATAAAAAATAAAACAGTTTCTTACCTTGTAAATTATTTTTATTTAAAATTTTCTCTTATTATGATTCTCTTTAAATTTGGAATGCCATGATACATCTTTCAGAATTTTTTTTTTTTATCTCTCTTTAAAAATACAAAGCTCCTGAAAGTTGGAAAATTATTTTTTAAATAAATTATTTTTTAGTGTTTGAAAATTATTTAGTAAATTATTTTTTAGTGTTTGAAGCAAAAATAAATCTATCTCATTATATCAGAAGTGTTTGTTTTTTAAAAGCTTGTCATAATTCTGAAAATGGATTCTTTAGAAATGCAATTCAATTACAAATATACATTGAAAAAATTGTTATTTCATACTATCTAAGCATAAAGAGCGTGTTTTGCGAAGTACATTATTTAGTGCATTTATGTGAAAATTACATAATTATTTTTTCATATTCTTTCATAAAATTATGTATAAATAAATAAATACATATTAATAATACATAAAATTTAACTGCCTTTATTTATTTTTCATTAATTAGTTTCTGTGCATCTCATTCATTACTTTAAAAATTTAAGAATCAGCAAATAATGTTATTTTACTGCATTATTTATTTTAGTATGTGTTATTTTAATTAAGCACAGTTTATTATAGTAGACTCATCAATAACTTTTGATTGAATTATTCTCTTAGTTTAAGTTAAATAAATTTGCCGATAAATTTTCTTATTAAATGATATTTTTAAGCTTTATACTCCATCCATTATTGATTCATTAGCAAGTAAACAAGTGCTTTAGTTTTGTTTCATTTTAATCGTGTAAATGGTTGTTTTAATTGTTGACATACCTTTTTAGAAAAAGGGTGCCCTTACTGATGCTCAGCTTGAACTAAGAGCTTCAACAAGAAAGGAACATTTGACAGATACTTTGCGTGAACGAAACAGAGAATTGCGCGAACAGTTAAAGACAAAAGAAGAAGCTATTTTAGAAAAACTGAAAATTGAGGAAGACTTAAGAGCCCAAATCAAAGCATTTGAAGATGAAATAATGGAATTGAAAAAAGAAGTTCAAGAGAAAGAAAAATGTTATGAAGTATGAAAAACTTTTATTGTTTATTATGAGTTTTGCACTGAGCATGTCACTAACAATGTAAATTGTAATGAACTTTGTGAATTTTAAGGTATCAAACTAGAAAATAAACACAATGCAAGAGTATAACCAAAGCAGAGTTTAAAAAAAAAATGCACATATTGGCAATAGATAAATTAAATCTCTGTGTGAGAAGAATTTTCTCTTTATTAAACTAAAGTTTGTTATTCAAATCTGCACAATTTTCAGTTAGTTGATTTCTGAACCGTCTAATTTTTAGTTTAACTCTTTATCTATTGCATTATGAACTACTGAAAATTTTTTCATAAATATAATTTTTTAGCTGCCATATTGATAATTAAAGAATATACAAGAAAAAAATCTCCCTGGTGCGAAATTTAATTTGTTAGAACTAATTAATTAAAGTGGTACTTAAAAGTACCACTTTAATTAAATAGTTTAAAGTGATTGGTACTTATAAGTACCATCAGTAGATAAAGGAAAAAAATTAATGGATTTGTGAATGTCCCAATTGCTTTCAATTAATCTTACAAAAATTTTGATTGCTTGAGTTATTTGTATTGTCAGTTTTTTGTATTGTCAGATATTTATCATCAGAAATTATTAAACCTAAAAAACTTTTTTTGATTGTTTAATTATTACTTTTTTAAAATTTCAGATTGAAAAAGCAAAATATGAAGAAAGGTTACGAACTTTGAGAGATACCTGTGAAGTAAGTTAAATGCTTTTATTTTAAAATAATGAATGCTTTTATTTACAATAAATACCTTTATTTATAAGTTATCTCATCGTAATGGTTATTTAATGGGAAAACTAAAATTGAATTTTTTTTATCAATTACTTCATAAAAAAGGAAAGTCACTAACTTCTTTGCATTTAAAAATCCTTTTAGTCAATATTGATATTTTTGACTATAACTTTTTTTTAGTCTGAGGTAAAAGTTGAAAAAATTCTCAAGACTAAAAAGTTTGCTTAAAAATAGGGGAAAAAAATTGCAAAATTTTTTTTTGACGATAATTAGTCAACTATCGATTTGATAAATACTCTTGATAAGTTTACTGTGTCGATTAGTGAATATTGTTAATGTGTTAAAATCATACTTAAGTAAAATTATAACAAAAAATTTCTCTTTATTTCAGAATTATTAACTTCTTATTGTAAAATAATAAAGAGTAGCTTGCTTTTTTAATCTAAATATTTAATGCAATTAAAAACCACCTGGAATGGTTTGTAATCAAACATTTCAAACAAATGTTGAATTAAAAATATGCATGTGATATTACTATTGTATTAAAAAATATCATTATTCTGATTGATTGATTGATGTAAATTTTTGGCGCAAGAGCCATGGTTTGGCTATACCGCGCCTAAATCTAGGTTAAAATTACTGTAACTTTGTTAAAACCAGAACAATTAGGTTAAAATGAGCAATTTGTCCAAAATTAAAACAACTAATTTAAAATTTGTCAACTAGGTTATAACTAGTACTAAATCAAGTTGTAACACCCGATATGTTTTATGTACAGTATTAAATTTGGATGAGGTGTGTCTCCAAGTAAGAATGATAAAGTCGGAAAGTCACAGTTAAAGTACTATCGTCTTTTAGATTTAAATTTCATACACTGGGTCAGAAAATGTTTTACTGTAAGAGACTCTTTGCGAAAATTGCATTGTGGAGGTGCTTCATTTAAAATTAAATACTTGTGTGTCAAGCTGGTGTGCCCAATGCGTAGTCTGTTGATAAGTACCTGGGTTTTTCTGTTGTAGTTAGTCAATGGTGCAAATGGGTTAATATCTGATTTGATCTCATGTAATTTATTGTTTATTTCATTATTCCAGTTGGCCTGTCTGAGTTGGGTAAAAGATTCTGCAACTAAATTTCGAATGTCAGGTAAACAGTGTGGTTTATTCGTAAGATTGTGGGTCAATTTGGCTATTGAGTCTGCTGTTTCGTTACCTTTAATGCCCATATGTCCAGGAATCCAACCAAATATTATTTCGTAGTTATTGTTCGTGAGTTCAATGTATAAATTTAAAATATGTGGTATAGTAGAGTGAGATTTACTGCTGAAATTTTTTATAGCATCGATACAGCTTTTTGAATCAGAAAAGATAAACCATTTTTTGTGCATTTGTTTTGAAAGAAATTGTAGAGCAAGAAGAATGGCGCAACATTCCGAGGAAAATACAGAAAAATTTGAAGGTAGTTTCTCTGATAGCACTCCTGCGCTGTGCACAACCGCACTAGCAACATGGTTATTGAATTTTGATCCATCTGTGTATAACACATAAAAGTCGTTAAAATTATATAAATGGGAATAAAATAGCTGTTGATAAATCACCGCAGATGTTTTATCCTTAGTCAAGTTTTTAAAAGTGTCAACAGTTTTGACATGTACTTCATTCCACACAGGAATTAACTCAGCTGATTCTAAAACATTAAAATCATCTAAATCTAATTGTGTTAAAAGGTTTTTCATTCTTAATCCAAAAGTAGGAATTAAGGCAGGTCTGTTGTTGAAATGAGTAGAACATGATGGTGTTAAAACATGAGAGTATAATGGATGAGAAGGGTGACATTTAATGTGAAAATAAAAGTTAAGAGAGAGTCTATTTCGTCTCAGAGCGAGAGAAGGTTCATTATGTAAAGCATATAAACTTTCGATAGTTGATGTACGGAAAGCTCCTGTGGCAATCCTGAGTCCTTGATGATGAATAGTGTCTAGATATTTTGAAACAGACTTTCTAGCTGATCCATAAACTATAGCACCATAATCTAACTTGGAACGGATTAAAGAATGATATATTTTGAGCATAGATGTAGTATCTGCCCCCCATGGTGTATTAGCCAGCACTTTTAAGATATTTAATTTTGCAAAACAGGATTTTCGTAAGTTTTGGACGTGAGCTTTAAATGTTAATTTTGTATCTAAGATCAGCCCTAAAAATTTTGCTTCCTGAACAACAGGGATTACAGCATTATTAATGTAAAGTTCAGGATCAGGATGAATCCCTCGTTTTTGACAGAAATGAATACAAGAAGTTTTACTAGGTGAAAAGGTAAATCCATTTAAATCAGACCATTTTAAAATCTTGTTTATTGACAGTTGTAACTGTCGTTCAATAGTTTGCATGCACGTGTCATTATTCTGAAAATCCCTCATAAAAACTGTAAAAAGTAACATCCACTGTAAAAAAAAAAGGCCATGCAAATTTATGAAGGAATTGACTGTGTCAAAAAGTAATTGTTAGAATATAATTCAAAACTTTTGTGCTGTAATATTTTAAAAACCTTGAATCTTGGGATGAGGTCCTTAGAATCTTGCTTTGTTTTTATAGGCAAAAAAGCATCAAAAGACTTAAATCTTTAACTTAGTTAAGATATCTCTGTTAAGAAAGCAAGCATACATTCAAATTTTGGTTCTATCGCCTTTACTTATCAATCACTTTTTTTTTCTTTCTTTCTAAATTGTCATGTCTACCTTGTTTCATATTTTAGGAGCTTTTGTAGTTTTTGTTTTCAGCATTTTACCTCCGCATTAATAAGCCACTCAAATGCTTGCAAAATATTGTGTGGAACTGCTTTCTCTATTTTAAAATTTTGAAAAATTTATAATAATTCATTTAGAGTTGTTTCATTAGCAGCATAGACAAATCTCTCTTTTGAAATTTATTAAAAAAAACAACAGATTTTTAAATCTTTCCACTCAAGTTTTCAGATTTTATCTATTAATGCCCATTTTGTTTTTATTTATTTTTGAATAAAGAATTTTATTAATTAAGTAGCTTAAACCTTTTTTTTTTTTATGAATATCTATTTTAAAAGCTTATAATGTGCATTTTTATGTGAAAATTAAATTTTAATGTAAAATGTTTAAGTTCAGCTCAGTTTAAATTTGTTAAAGAAAAAGGAATGTGTTATGTTATTTGTATCAAATGAATTTTGGATTAGTCATTTTATTAGTTACTATCTCTAATCTGTTCGAAAAAGCAATGATTTTCTTTAAAAATTTGTTCGTTATTTTATAAGGCTTGAAATTAAGACTATTTTTATAAAATTAAGCTTTGTACAATTTTTTATTTTGTAGGATTCTAAAGATGCAACACAAAAATATGCTAAAACACAAGGTCAATATGAGGAAATCACTAAACAGAATTCAGTAAGTATCTTTAAATTTATTTTCTTTATATAAAGGGACAACACACAAAAAAAATTTTTTTTTAGCCAAAATTGAATAAAAAATTGTGCAGGAAACCAAAAAGGAAAATTGCAAAATGTCCTCAAATCTTGAGCAATTAGCTTGTGTGACAAAATTTCTTAAAAATGTCTAAAAATAGCATTTTTCTGTAGAATATAAGTTTAATGTAATCTTATTCATGTATTTTCATACAACTACAACAATAGCATATAAACTGCTAAGAAAATAATTTGTCCTTAAAGAAGGAAGGAGTATAGGTTGCAAATTTCTTTTTGAGAGCTTATGTACAGATGTAGAACTATTTTTATAGTATTTTTAAGATTAAAAATAATAAACATAATTAATATGTTGAGGGATATAAGCATATAGATTATCATAGGCATTAAAGACACACAAGTGTATATAATCTATCATATAGAGCATGCNCTTAAAGAAGGAAGGAGTATAGGTTGCAAATTTCTTTTTGAGAGCTTATGTACAGATGTAGAACTATTTTTATAGTATTTTTAAGATTAAAAATAATAAACATAATTAATATGTTGAGGGATATAAGAATATAGATTATCATAGGCATTAAAGACACACAAGTGTATATAATCTATCATATAGAGCATGCTGGAGAGTCTAAAGCAAAATATTTCATGCAAGTCTTTGATGTAGTGGTGAACAGAATGCAGAACAGAACTGTAAAAAAGAATAATTTGAAAAAAAATACGTATTAAAAGATATACTTTAGTATGTTATGAAAGATATTGCTCAATATTTTATCACTTAAAGGAATTTTAATAAAAATCAATGTTTAAGTAAACTTAGCACGAATATTCAATTAAATATATACAAAATAAATAAATAATTTTAAGAGATTTTTTGAAAGAATATGGGTAAAAGGCTATTTATGCAATTAAATCAAGACTATACTTGAAAGATTATATTGATATTTTTTCCAATTGTGTTTCATCTTTATCAAAACTATAATTTGCAAAAAAAATTATAGCAGTTCCTATACTTTTGAAATTAACCCACTATATTTTTATCTTTCTAGAATTTAACCAAAGAATGTGAGGAAAAAACAAAGAAAATAGTTCAGTTAACAGAAGAAATGAAATCTTTAAAAAATGATCTAACTAAAAAACAGTCTGAATGTAATAGATTAGAAAAAGTAAGTACTTGTTTTGTATTCATTTTTAAGTTTCCTTTTCGGTCTGTATGTTTATTTCAGTTATTACTTTTTAGATTAATTCCACTTTAAAAACAGCATGCATGAATATGGAAAATGACCTGAATAATTTTGAAGCTCTTGTTGAAGCTAGAGATGTGAGCATTTCCAAAATTATGAAACAAAAGTAAGAGACATTTGAAAATTACAATTGCTTGCTTGAAATTTATTAGTGTTTTGGTATAAGTAAATTATGTGTAATTTTTTTAAAATTAACATCTGTTTATTAATTTAGAAAAATTGTATAACTAAATATTTGTTAATCAATCCAATTTTTATTTATATTGAAATTGTTTAAATTATTTAAAAATCCATGAATATTTTTATTTATGTTATTGCAAATTTTGATAAAGTTTGTTTGATTTTGAATTGATTATGAATTAAAATCTGTTTAATTGAACCATTATTATAAAGGATAGTGTTAAATTTAATAGTAAATGACTCATAAGTTGCTAATACTCTTAAGTTTCACTATCTAAATGAAAGAAAAAATCTGATGGAATTTTAAAGCTTCTGCAATACCTTTAATAATTGATTTTTTACAATTTTAGATTTTTAGCAATTTTAGCTCTACTCTCAAAGCATTTAAAAAGGGCCATTCTGGTCCCTTCTCTAAGTATTCAGTCTTTCAACTGTTAAGACTTTTTTTTAAATGCATAGTAAATATAAAAGAGTTTTCATCTATGCATTCAGAATTTATAATCCTTATTTTTCTTGTGATTTAGAGAGAACTTACAGAATGAAATCATTAAATACAAGGATGACTTGAAAAAGCTTCAAACATCATTTGACAGGAAAGAACAAGAAAGGTAGTTTTAAATGTCTAATTCATATACTTTTAACTTAATTTTTGACCTACTATGAAGTTGATGTGAAAGGTGAAGTTTTATACTTCCACTGCTTTTACCTGTTTTCTTTGGTCTTAAAGGATGGGTGTCTGATGTGATTGCCTTGTTTTTGATATTGTATTAGTGGTCTCACACATTTGTGTGATGAAAATGCATGATGCATAGGTGTGGTGATTAGTTCCATAAAATCTGTTCTTTTTGAATCGCTGGAAATTATATTGCACATATTAGCTGATATTGTCTTTCTGTTATCGCTGAAGATGAATCTTAGATCAGCAGCAATAGCTTCCTCAATGTAGCTCTAGTTGTGTTTTAATCATATTTATTAAGGTTAATTGTATTCTTTTTTACTTGTCAAAGTACTTGGAAATTATTCTATTAACTGAGATTATTTAATGGGGAACAAAATATGAATTAATGAGTTTAAAATCTATGGTAAATAGTTATATATGAATGGGTATGCTTGCAAATTTTACGCATTGAAACCTGACATGAAGTTTTGGTACAAAATGCATTAGCCCTACAACCTTTCAGGCCTAGACTATCTCTGTCGGTAAAAAAATAAAAAATGGCAAACAGGGTTGCCACTCAACAGGGAAAACCTGGAAAATACAGATAATTTAAAAATCACCTAAAATAAGAGGGAAAATGCAGGGAATTTAGATTTATTCTTTACGAACTGGGAAAATACAGGGAATTTTGTTTCTTATTTTTGTCTTTTAAAAAATGGTACCCACTCAAAGCGTAATTTATGGGATATTTAGCCATGATATTTCAGCTATACTAAACTATTTCACTTACTATTGCATTTTTTAACTATGTTCAGTTGTTTTCCCACCTATTAAAACTAATAAATATAGTTAGCCCAATATAGCTCACACAAGAGCACAGTAATTGTTGTTTCCTCTTAATATAGTGTGTATAATATGTACAGGGAAAACACAGGGAATTTTTTTTCCAGATTTGAGTGGCAACCCTGAAAAAAAAATGTTTCTTTGTGTATGATAAGTTAATGGTTGTCTTGGTGTCTTTTTTTTATTTTTTTAAAATTTTTATTCTCATTTAACGGAAAAAAGTCTTGCTATGATCATTAATTAACAAAGACGATCTGTATACCTGTGGCTGTCAACAGCATAAAATTAAAGTTTTTGTTCTTTTTAAAAAAAAATAAATTTGCATTAATACAATAAAAAAATTTGGGATTTTTTTAACTAAGCCATATAACTATCTTAAGTTTAGTTTATTCCGAAGAAATCAAGCGTCTGACGGTTTAGCATTAAAGAATTTTTTAGTGATGTGATCTTGACCTTTCCTGGTGACGTGTCCTGTTCATTTTATTATCTGTCATTTAATGAAATTAATGATACCAGGCTCCTTATATGTGGAGTATAGCTTTAAATTGGATATTCTGTGTATTGGAGCATGTTGTTTCTTTATTTTTTTCTGTATACTCCTGAAAATATTTCTCAAGACCTTTTCTCTGAATGACACCTCATTTGAAATTGGAAGGTCCTTATTTAAAGTTGTAATTGAGTTCACTTTAACTTTATAGTTTTATTACTAATATATACTTTTTACTTATATTTAAATTGTTCAAAGTAAAGTTAAAAATTTTTATTAATCAACCAGCTTGTTTTTTTTTGTTCTTTTTTTGCTGTATATTGTTTACTATATATATTCTAATTTTAGGGAAGGATTGATGAAATGTGTTCAAGAACTTTCTGTTGAAATAGAAAATCAAGCCTCGCTGCATGAAACTGAGTTGCAGATGCTTCAAGATCAGTTAAATCATTATAAAAAATCTGCTGATGACTTACAAAAGAAGACCATTGATTTGCAAAGTGATATCTCCTCTCGTAGTAACGATACAGCTAGATTTTCCAAAAAGATATTAGACTTAGAAGGCCAACTATGCATAATTAAGGAGGAAGTAAGTTTTTAAATTACTATTTTCTCTTCTTTTTCCCCCCCTCTTTTTTTTGTAATCTAAAAATTATTATTTAGGTTGTAACTAAAAAAAATCATAGGGTTTGGTAGTCTCTTAAATTGGTAGTCATTTAGTAGTCACACTATAATCACACTTTTTTGATTAAAACTTGCAAAACTGAAATCAGCTATTCTCATCTGCTAGCAAAACTAAAATCAGCTATTTTTCATAAGAAATAAATACTTTAAGATTTAAAATTCTACTGATTTTCCTTACTTCTTTATATAGAAATCATTTTTTAAGATTTCTTTTGTTTGTTTTACTATATCTTTTAAATACCATTCAGTAATAAACAAATATTAAATCAGTCATATTTATTTTTACACATTTAGTAGCATTATTTTTTTTCTACATTCAAATGTGCTATAAACTATTTTAGTGTTCTCTAGCAACTAGGGCTAGTGAAGCCAGCTTTAAATTGTTGAAACTGCACTTGTTTGAATGTTGAATAATTCTTAACGTCTCCATCTCAGTTTTATCTTTAATTTTAAGCAGTGACCCTGTCAGGGCTGATTGTGCTATAGAAAAAATCCCGATTTCCGGATTTTTCGCTAACAATTATCTGGAAGTTTCCGGAGATTGAAGGTCCAGACGTTTCAAAAAATCATTGATCACAGAAGTTTCCCGAAATTAAAATTTCAAGGGTGGAACTTAAAAGCACAGTCTATTTTATTTGTTTGTAAGGGAGAACCAGATACTTTATAAGCTTATATTCAGGATTAATATTAATTTTTTATCAGTAAATAGTTATTATAATCATAAACTCACGAAGGAAAGACATATTTGTAGATTTTAATTACTTCTCCTGGTCATCATAGGTATGGGTAAATGGTATAGGTATGTGTAAAATTTTAAATATATTTTAAGTAAACTAAGAAAATTGAGAAAAAGGAAAAAAACCTTGTTTAAATTTTTTTCAATTTAAACTTTTTTTTAACTCAAGAAATTTTTCAGAATTTTGATTTTGGCTCACAATCACCCCTGCCCTGTGGTAGAATTTTCGCCAGCTTTCTGCGACATGCCTTTCTAATACTAATATCTTTCTGCTAGATACTTTAAAAACTAACTAATATACATGTTACTAATTTAAATTAATAGAAACGTCAACTTAAAAAAAAAACTAATGTGGCTTTTTTAATCGAATGTGTAATATTTTTTTTATTCTAGTATTGTGGCAGATATTTTCATATTTTGTAAGGGGGAAACACACTAATAATTTACTTTTTCGCATTTTGTAAATCATCATCATATAAAAAATAAAAAAGAAGTCCATAGTAGTAACTAATGAGAAAAAAGAAAGATCGAAGGCAAAATCATCTGCATCCAACTCTTCGAAAAAGGGTTACTAAATGTGCCTATTTATTTCGCCTATGTATATGTGCCTATATGTGCCTATTTATTATTCAAAATATAGGATTTTAAAAACTATGTGGAAATCAATAGAAATAACTAAATAAAAAAAATTCTCCAGAAAAGATTACCAAAATGTTTTGCTTCCCAAAGGAAAAATTTTTCTGCAAAAACTCTAACGTTTTGCGACAATGTCGCCACGATTCTGCCATGGGAGCAGGGATTTAATGTTCATCACTTGTTGAGAATAACTTAAAGGGAAGGTTGTTTTTACTTTAAATTGATCTAGTTGCAACTTCCCATTAATTAATTGAGCAATTGGACTTGAGATTACTTGTTTTTTTTCCCCTCCCCTGCCGAGTAAAGTAATCAGGCCATTAAATAACAAAATTTGCATCAATTTGTATGTTTTAAAACATGTATTATCAAATGACTTTTTCTTTATTTTTTTTTAATTTCTTAGTTAATTTAAAGTTGTATTTCAATTAAATATAAAAAAAAGCTCACTTTTTTGGGGGTTAAAAATCAATCATTAGTCATTAATTTTAAGTTTAAGCTTGTATTAAAAATTAAGTTTTTAATGTAAGTTTTATTTCATGCTATACAAAATAGTTTTTTTCTCTATTTTTTTTTAAACAGGCTGCAGCTCACATCACTCAAATATCTTCATTAAAATCTAGTAATTTAAAACTAACACTTTCCCTTGAAGAAGCTGTGAAAAAGTGTGAAAACTCTGAGAAATCAATCAAAGAACTTTACAATGAAAAAGAAAGTGAAAAAGTAGGTTTTCTTTTAATTTTTTTGTATAGTCAAAATCTTTTATTACAACTAGGACTGGGCTATAAATCGATGTATCGAGACATATCGATTTAACACATACATCGGCAAGACAACGAGCGCGAAACGATATAGCGATATAAGACACGCACGGATATAAGAAAACGATATAGCGATATAAGACTCTTCTCTTACGTTCCGAAGTCTACTCGCGCTGTGGAAGACGATGTTCGTTTCGTTATGTTGAAATGGCCTTGATTGGTGAGCTGTTGAATCAGAATCAGAGTTTTGAGAACATATATCGTAATCTCGCATGCTCGTTTTCGCACCTCTTAGTTTTTTTTTTTTTTTTTTTTTTTTTTTTTTTTTTTTTTTTTTTTTTTTTTTTTT